TCTGAGAATGAGACCTTCCAGTTGATAAAAGTACAAGAAAGAGAGCTCTCGTGCTCGTTTCAGCTCGAGGTTTTACGCAGCTACTCAGCAACACAATGCTCGTCTATTTTTCTGGTGCGATAGTTGTGTCCATAAAATAGCAGTGTAAAGTAGACAGAATTTCATATCAACAATACTGTAATTCCGTTTTTTCCACATCTTATCTCATATGAAGTTGATTCAGGTCAAGTAGTTGCCAATTTTGAACAAAAAGTAGTTACTCAAACTCAGTTGTCCAAGTCTGAATTGCAAACTTCTAATACATACAGTTCTATTGGACTAGATTTTTGCTAGTTTGCTGTTTTCCAATTCTTGATGAGCTTGTGGGCATTATGGTGTTCCTGAGTAAGGAGTTGATTTAATATCTTGTAGTAAATGGAAAAAGAAGATAACTATGCAGGAAAATAATTTGTACTATTTCCTTATACAATAACTTGTACTATTTTAAAATTTGGAGAATGACATTTAAATATTAGGGAATGTTCGTTTTTTTTTTAAATTTTAATTAAATTTAATAATTGTAATTTTAAAAATATATTAATAAATTAAGTTTTTAATGTTACTGAAGTAAATATTGAAAGTCAATTATTACAAATTTATAATGTACTTATAAAGTGATAAATTTTATGATTTGTTGTTAATTTGATAAATATCAATAATTACTAATTTGATTTGTTTCTTATGTTTTAGTTGGTCTACTTTAAGCTATCGATTTGGAGTGATATCGCTTATGAATTTTCACGGATACACTACTCAGGTGATTTAGTTGACTATATACACCACACACAATCCAAGTTCCAGACAAGCAGCCTTAGGCTGAATATTGTTGAGATTTTTTTCCAATGGAAAACAATTATGATTAAAACATAGGAAAATAATTTTAGTCATATGCTTTAATATTGAAAAGTTTAAATAAAACTTTAATAAATAAAAGTAATTTATTTAATCTAATATTATATAGAGTTCTTGTTTTTCGGAAATCGGATAGTTATTGTGGGTATTAATTTATTAGTAATTAATTTTTTAAATAGTAATTTTGAAAACTAAATATTTGGGTTAACAATATGATTACTTTTAGATTTTATGATTAAATAGTGAATGCAAAAGTTTAAAATGGTTTGTATTTGTTTAAAACAAATTTGAAACTTTTTATCAAGATCAGAAGGGTTAAAGAGGGGAATAACATGACATTTCAAAGATGAAATCAGACCCAACTAAACAAACTTGAAGCACCCAAGAGGAACTACCGGTAGACTTAAAAACAAGGAAAAATGGATTATCCCAAGCCAACTTAACTGGTTTGTGATCTTTCAACCGATTTGAGGAAATGATACAACTCAAAATAGGAAGAAAGGGTTCCATTTGAGGAAATGATACGATTCGCCTCGGGTTGGCCGTTTTCGGCCGAATTCGGCCACACTTACATCGGTCCCTGCGATAAAACTACCCTAGGGCCATCGGTGGGCCAAAAAATTACGAAAAATCGAAACTTACCGGCGGCGGTGTTCTCGGGTGCAGCGGCTCCTCTGGTGTGAGTCGCATTTTGATGTTTGGCTTTGATCAACCTGTAGAGAAAAAAACGGTGATCACAATGGTATAAAATTTGCATCGAACGGAGGCCGGAAAGGGCCTCATCGGAGGTAAAAATCGAGGAGGGGCGCGGCGGCGCTACTGAGCTTCGGCTGGATTTTCTGGCCGTTTGGCTGGTGGTTTGACTCCGGTTTAGCCATAGGCGGACTCAGCATCGAAAAATGACCAAGGGGGAGAAAATTTACCTCGATCGGTGGTCGAAAACTTCTCCGGTGCGGCGGCTGGTGGCGGCGGCCGGCTCCTCTGGCGTCTGGTTCTTCTTCTCCGGCGAGGCACTGGCGGCTAGAATTTTTGTGGTTAGGTGTGGGGGGAGTTATTTATACCCTTTGCCTTTTAATCTCAACCGTCCATCAAGATTAAATCTAGACCGTTCGATCGCGATTTAATTGGGATTAAATCTGGGCCGTTCATCGCGATGCAATTTGGACCGCCGTGCCTTATTGAATCTGGACCGTCCGTGCGTGTGAATCTGGGCCGTCCGTGTGCGCGGGAACGGATCTGGGCCGTCCGATCGCGCGCACGCGGATCGCCCACGTGGCCCGTTCCCTGGTCAGCATTGCCTTACCACGCGGCGCGTCCTGGTTGGCCGAGGCTACTGACCGGGCCGCCGACATGGCTGCTGACGTGGTGTTGACGTGGCACAATTTTTCTAAATTGCGTTTTGATCTCCAGTTTCCGATTTTCTTTTCAAAAATACCCCCAGAATCCAAATTTTCACCCATTTTTTCAAAAATCAATTTCAATTAAATCCAAATAATATTTTACCCAATTTTATCATTATTATTATTTTTATTTTTCATTAAATTAAATCAAATTAAAATAAATTACATAAAAATCAAATAAATAAAAAATAAAAATAATAAAATATAATTTTATTTCACTTGGGTGTTACAACTCTCCCCCCCTTAAAGAAATTTGGTCCCCCAAATTTGTCTCTTATTCTTGGTCGAACAAATAGGGATACTGGGCTCTAAATTCTGATTCTAGCTCCCAAGTAGTCTCCCTAGGCGTGTGGTTCTGCCACACGACCTTTACAAATGATATTTTCCGGTTGCGGAGTATTCTGCTCTTTTGGTCCGTGATACCGACTAGTACTTCTTCATAAGTCAAGTCCTCTTGGAGTGGAAGCGGTTCATGAGCCAAGACATGAGAAGGGTCCGGGTTGTACTTACGTAGCATGGATACGTGGAACACGTTGTGGACTCTGGAGAGCTCTGGAGGCAGTGCTAGTCTGTAGGTAGCAGTACCAATCCTGTCTAAGATTTCAAAGGGTCCAATATATCGGGGGGTTTAATTTTTTCCTCCTGCCGAACCTACTAATTCCCTTGAAAGAAGTGACCTTAAGAAACACCCGGTCGCCTTTTTCAAACGCTAGGTCTCTCCTCCGGGTATCTGCATAACTCTTCTGTCTACTCTGAGCTGTCTGAATGTTCTTCTTGATTTTAACTATCTTAGACGTGGTCTCCTCTACCAACTCCGGGCCGAACAATCTTCTATCGCCCACTTCCTCCCAGCAAATCGGTGATCTGCACGGGCGCCCATATAACGCCTCATAT